ACTAATTAGCCAAACTCGGGTCGTGAATAAATAGAATTAAATTTTTTTCTTATTATCATACTTGTCAAGTACTTTGATTACAACACGTTGATTGATTACGCTGAGGTAGGTTGGACTTGGTCGTATGAAATCCTTGGAGGTAGTGAAGAAAATTTAGTAGGTTAGAAATCAGAATGATCCTTTTAACTACGCATGCATCAATCGATTACAACATTGAGGGCATTGACCTACCAACAACATGTCGAAGAGTGGAACACATCTATATCTCTTGTTGCTGATATGGTATCTGACACATATTGGTTTGACATTGGTTTGTTTAATGACACACAACCCTAACTTTAGACTCTTATCTTCGATTTTGATTTTTAATATTCTCTCTCTCTCTCGGAGAGAGAGAGAGAGAGAGAGAGAGAGAGAGAGAGGGGGAACATCGTAGGCACGGAAAACGGGTCAAACAAAAATAGACGTGCCATTTGCTTACAGCATACGCAGACGCTGCTTCTTTTAACTCATCTTTATCACCACCAAACTATAGTTTAAGTTCTATGTTGGCCTCAGCTGAGCTCACAAAACTGGCTACCATCCTCTCCTCCTCCACTGCTGCTTCTTGGCTTCTGCAACCGGAAAAATAGAGAGCATAGGCATACATAATATCTATTATTTGAATTAATTTATGAGCATTAATTGGGTATACATAATTTCTTTTTGTGGGCTCAAATTCATTAAACTAATAAATCAATTATCTCATCAGATTAGACTATAATAAATAACTATATATAAATAAGAGGGGAGGTATATCATAATGTGAATATTATGACATATTATTGATTACACCTCCTCATATGCATCTCGTTTTTAAATGCGAGAAATAATGCTCCTCGTTTAGTCACACATAAAAAAAAAAAAAGTAATACAAATTCGTTCATAAGGACTAAAATATTTACTACCACTATCCTCACTCTAATCCATGTGATTTTAAACCTATCAAATTTATTTATCACTATAAATATTTCTGCAGTCTCACTTCAAACTGAATCAATACAAATATTTTTGACTTTTTTTTAATCTCAATGAGTTTGATATATTTAATATGAAGCCAAACTTCGAAACCTACAAAGGTGCCTGATGTCGAGGATCTCTCCACAATATTTGGAGGTTGATTTATATTTTTTATTCCAGGTGCTGTTTCCCTTGCATGAAGCTTCTTCCACTTGGGTCACCCAGGCACAAATCCAGTAGAACCACTACTGGATGTTACCCAACAATAAATGATTCCTTCAGGATCTATGGTTCATTATGAAGACCATGCAAAGCATATTCGTCAAACTTGAACTGAGCATTCGCTTTCAGCAAATTCTGGGTGCAAAATCTAGTTATCTTTGTGCATTTCATATATTACTACAGAAAGATATTTATGTGTAATATATAAAAAATATTCATGCTCAATATAATTTATCAAGTTTCTGGAACCCATACTCTTGGAGGATGAGAAATCTAATTATGGAAAGACTTTTCTGTGAAGGAAAGAAAACCTCAAGATTGGGTTTTGGTTATTGTATGAATATTTTATTTATCTCTAAATCTTTATGGAAGAAGATATAAGAAAATACTCCAGTAGATCTAAATTATGTATTTATAATTTCATATTACATAATAAATAATTTAATTTTCTCTTTGGAAATCAAGAAGAAGTGCGAACGATCTCTGAATTTTTTTTCTTCTGTCATGGAGATTATAATAGTTTTAATGATCATAAACTAGGACAAGTATTTTTTTTTAGCACCTATGAACAGAAAGATATTTCATGATTTTTAGGCATATCTATTTGCTTAGGTTATATATGTTAACATACCATTGACAGTGATTAAAGACACCTCATATAAACAGCAAGGAAATCTTTCTTTGCTGAAATGTGTTCAACAATACAATTACACTCATGTAAGAAATATTTAGTATTACAAATGAGACAAAGATGAAATCTACAAACAGAAAAGAATGATGATGATGGTCCCAAAATATGACAACCATTTGACCAATCAATATCACACAACCACTCAACAATTTTGGAGTTGCTGCACTGTTACTTCTGATGGAGTATATATACCTATATCCTATACAAGTTGTGCTGGATGACCTTCTTGTATGGCCATCAAAGGACCACAAATCTGTAATAGGTAATGTCATTGGCAAAAACTGAGCCAATTATTTTGTTTAATGGTGCATAATGGGAAGGTATATATGATGTATCTTTTGATTAATATAAAGCACAAGTATTATCAAAGGCAACTCAAGATACAAATCCCATAAAAATGCATGAAAGAGACACTAAACATAGCAGGATTTGATATTTGAGATTAATTTGCAGGCCAAGATCTTGATGTTCTCCCTCCTGACATTTCTCTTCTCCCATACCCAAAAGCAATCATGTCCCTCATGTGCAGGATCCAACTTGTGTCAACTGCAACATCATCAACACCACTTCAGATGGAATCCAAACAATTCTCTTCACTTCTTCCTTTTTTTTTTTTCTGTCTTCTGATGATAATTTATGATGTCAATTTAGGCCCACTTTCTCCTAAGAACTTGCCTTTTAAGCACTCCTTTCTTTCTTCTTATTCATTCTCTCTCTCTCTC